GCGCGCCCCCAACTCCCCCGGCGCGTCGACCCGCTTCCTTCCACCGGGCGTCTTCGGAAGTTCGCTCCGACGACCGCGCGCGGCAATGCTCGGGCCCGCGCCCGGCCTCGAGCTCGGGTCGCACTTGAGCCCCGGGCCCCGGGGCCCCTCGGCCCCCCGGGCCGACCCCTCGCAGGGCCCCCCCGGCTCTCGGCTCAGGGGCCCCCCGCGAAAGGTTTTTCTGATCGCAGTGAGCGGAGCGCAGGACCTCCGAAGGCGCTCAAGTAGCCCCCCTGGCGGGCCCCATCCAGCGGGCCCCGCGCCCCGCGCCCGCGCCGGGGGCCCGCGGGGCCTCGCCTCGACGGGGCGCCCGTCGACCCGCGACGAGGCGTCGCGAGGTTGATCGGGCCTGGCCGGCTCTGGCGGCTGGCCGCGGCCTCCTCCGACGTCGCGCCCTCGCGGCCTCGCCCGGCCCCGGCTTCGCAATTCGAGCTCGCATCCGCGCGACTGCCCTGTCCAGGGCCCCTCCGACCACGGACCCCAATCACCGACCCACTGGTCTTCGCCAGGGCGCGGCCCTCGGGCCCCCGCCGGGCGCGCAACTCCGACGCGTCTGCTCCGCCACGCGCGGCCCCGGAAGACGCGGTTCGGCCCGCGCCGCGGTTTAACTCTTCGCGCGGGCCGCCAGGAACACGAACGCCCCCACCGACAGAACGCTCTGGGAGCAACTCCGCCCCCCGCCGGCAACTCCGCGTCAACGTCGCATAGCTCGCTCACTTCTCTCAGGCTTTCGATGTGCACCCTCGCGCTCGGACTGCATCCCGAGCCCCTCGCGCCCGCTGCGCCCGACTGCGCGGCCCACGCATCCAGTAGCGCATTCTGGCGCCGTCGCGGTCTAGGTCCTGGCCTGCGTTCTCACGCGAAATCAGATTATGATGTGCCGCCGTCGCTCCGTGAGATTCGTCCATCCACCCTGCTCGCGGCAACATCGCCGTAATCTTCCCCGTCGCGACTACGAAGTTCGCGGAATGTGGGCCTTCTCAGCCTCTCTATATCGCCGGGTCGCTGCGCTAGTTCCAGGTGGCCCTCCAAACGCTGACGCCTCTGGGCTCCCATTCGACATGCTAAGGCGCGCGTCTTCGACTCTCTGAATTACGTTTCTCCCTGCCGCTTCGGTCGCCTCTCGTTTCCCCCGATTGCCCCCCTGCCAAGTTATCCCCGCAGTAGATCGCCATCGTGTATTCTCCTTTCTAAAAAGAGAATAGACTCCCCCCCCCCAGGGACTTAACGGTTCCCCCTGGGATAGTATAATTTCACATTAATAATATATATATATATATATATATATATGTGTGTATTCTGCACACTCGTCCATCCTAAAAATGAAATCATACCATCCCAGGCAGGCCGGTTTCCCCCCCCTGAGGTTCCCTTGTAAAGAACCATATGCGGTGCCATTTTTTGTTCTAACATGACACTTTTTCACGAATCCCTTGCAAAAAACGAGACGAAGTGCACACGCGCGCGTCGTCGCGCGCGCATGCCGAAATCCTTCAAAACCTTCGGTACCGGAAAGATTCCGCAATCGAGTTCCCCAAGAAAATACAACAACACATGGTTTCCCAACACTGATTTGCTAAAAAAACTTCCGCGCGAGCACTTGCGAAATCTTAAGAAAACCATAGGTTTTTCCAGATTTTCACTAAATGCTACCAAACGGGCTTCGCGCGCGCGCATGTCGAAATCTGTCGAACGCCCTTGCGCGTGTGCCGTCGCGAGAATCCTCTGCAAAAAACGGGACGAAGTGCAGACGCGCGCGCGGTCGCGCGCGTACGCCGAAATCCTTCGAAACCCATCGGTTTCGGAAGGACTTCGAAATCGCGCACCTTCAAAAACCCAAGGTTTCGCAACACGGATTTTCAACAAAAGCGTGCGCGCGCGCTCTTGCGTCGTCGTCGTCGTCGTCGCCGTCCTCCCTCCTCCCGCGTCGTTGTCGTCGTCGTCGTCGCCTACGTCGTCCTCTGTCTTTCCTCGTGTTCGTCGTCGTCGTCCTCTTTGGCGTCGTGGTCGTTTCCGTCGTCGTTGTCGCCGTGGTCGTCCTTCCTCCTCCTCCCTCGTCGTCGTCGTCGTCCGTCGTCGGCGTCTCGTCGTCGTCCCTCCTATTTCGTCGCCGTCGTCGTCGTCGTCGTCGTCGTCGTCGTCTTCCCTCCTCCCTCGTCGTTGCCGTCGTCGGCGTCGCCGTCCTTCCTCCTTCTTCGTCGTTCGCGTCGTCGCCGTCCTCCCTCCTCCCTCGTCGTTGTCGTCGTTGTCGCCGTTGTCGCCGACGTCGTCCTCCCTCCTCCCTCGTCGTCGTCTTCGTTGGCGAAGTCGTCGTCGTCTTCGTCGTCGTCGTCGGCGTCGGCGTCATCGTCGTCTTCGTCGTCGTTGTCGGCGTCGTCGTCGTCGCCGCCGTCGTCGTCGTCGTCGTCGTCGTCGGCGTCGTTGACGTCGTCGTCGTCGGCGTCGTCGTTGTCGTCGTCGTCGGCGTCGTCATCGTCGTCGTCGTTGTCATCGTCGTCGTCGTCGGCGTCGGCGTCGGCGTCGTCGGTGTCGTCGTCGTCGTCGTCGTCGTCGTTGTCCGCGTCGTCGAAGTCGTTGGAGACGTCGTCGGTGTCGTCGTAGTCGTTGTCGGCGGCGTCGTCGTCGTCGTTGTCGCTGTCGTCGTCGGCGTCGCTGTCGTTGGCAAGTGCCATCTGGTACCCACCGTCACGGTCTTAAGAGATTTTGCGAACCAAGTTGCGGGTGGGTGGGTGGGATGTTTGCGCGAGCAGTGGAGTGGTCAAGCGCGGTGCAGGGTAGTCAAGTTCAAGATCCTAGATTCCTCCACCAAATCTGTCCCCGGGCCTGTTCCTCGCCTTACCTCGAATGTATCCGAAGACCTCTGCCACTCGCCACGCGGTCCATTCGCTCCATCCGAGCAATTCCGGCTTCGGAACAACCTTGACCTGCGTCGCACTCGTGAAATCTCCTGCCCAGTTCGCGACTTCGCTTGCTTCGCTCGTAGGTTTTGGTCATGTCACTGTTGCGCGCCTCTGCTCGAGTTCTAGCGCAATCATTTGCACACTCCCGTTCTTCTCTTCTCGGCCGCTGCCGACTTCGGGATTCTCGGTCTCTTCCGCTGACTCACGCTCATCTCGCTTTCCAGCCCGCAGCTCTCTTTCTCCATGATCCTCTGGGCGTCTCGGGGCGGCCTTCGCGCCGACCCCCCCGCTATCCCTCGAGTTCCTTGATCCTCTCTCGCGGGCGCCTCCTCGCGTGAATCAGCGTCTACAACTTGCCTTCGCTTCCACCTGCCAGCCTCCGCCGAAGCGATCCGTCACCCTGTCCGGTTTCGCCAAAGCGAACTCCTGCAGTTTCGCTGCCACTTCCTGTCACCATGGTTCCTACGCTACTGCGTATCCTACGGGTCGGGCCCAATCCTGTCCTCACCCGCTCTAGACGAGCCTTAGCCCGCAGGGTTAAGACTATTCTAGCAGAGTGCTTCAAGAGACTTCCTGGCGCAGCCCCAACCTGCAACGTGCGGGATAGCCGCTACCTATTTTAACACCTAGGTGTTCTCTCGGGCTGTCTGGATGGTGCAGCAAATCCTCCCAAGCGGCATGGAGTCACACCGAGTTCTCTGATCAGGGTGACCTATGCCTCGAGGGCCTTGGAAGATCTTCGAGGCTCCCTTCTTAAAGCACGTGGTTCTTCCAACGAAATCTACGATATCGATATCCTTTTGGCCTTTCGTACAAAGACCCGCCGGTCTTACTCTGACCTTGAGCCAAAACGGGCAGCGACACGCATGCTTTACAGCGCGAAACGCTGCATCTCCTCCTAGACACACGCGCACGTGCTAATCGCACAATACGCGCGTGTAACGCTACGTTTAAACGCATCTTACGGAAAAAAAGCCACACGACCGTCACTACTTAAGATATCCAGATCGTAAGTGTTCCATCCATCTCCTCTCCTCCTCATCATCACCACCACCACCACTACCATCATCATCATCATCATCATCATCATCATCATCATCATCATCATCATCATCATCATCATCATCATCATCAGCATCAGCATCAGCATCATCATCATCGTCATCATCATCATCATCATCATCATCATCATCATCATCATCATCATCATCATCATCATCATCATCATCATCATCATCATCATCATCATCATCATCATCATCATCATCATCATCATCAGCATCATCATCATCGTCATCATCATCATCATCATCATCATCATCATCATCATCATCATCATCATCATCATCATCATCATCATCATCATATCATCTGCATCATCAGCATCAGCATCAGCATCATCATCATCATCAGCAGCATCATCATCATCAGCATCATCATCATCACCATCACCACCATCATCATCAGCATCATCATCATCATCCTTATACTCCTCCTCAGCATCCTCATCATCCTCCTCCTCATCGTCATCAGAATCACCATCATCTGCATCATCATCATCATCATCCTCTTCCTCCTCCTCCTCCTCCTTATACTCCTTCTCCTCATCATCCTCATCATCGTCATAATCATCATCATCAGCATCATCATAATCAGCATCATCATGAGAATCAGCATCATCAGCAGCATCAGCATCAGCATCAGTATCATCATCAGCATCATCAGCATCATCATCAGATTCATCTTCTTCATCATCATCATCAGCATCATCATCATCACTATCATCTTTCTCCCCCTCTGTCTCTCACCCTCCCCTTCTTCACTCCTCCAACCACTCGCTCCTCACCCCTCGCCCCACGACCCACACTCCTCGCCGCTTCGCTCCTGGCTCCTCGCTCCTCACTCTTTCGCCTCCCCCAGCCCCAAAGCCCTCCTCCTCCCGCCCCGAGCGTGAACAAGCCGCCCTCCCCAATGGCAAAGCCGTCGCAGGCGGCGGGTGGGCCGGCGCAGGGGCGGCGGCGCAAGCAGGGGGGGGGAGAGGGGGCCCGCCTCGGCGAGGCTCTAGCGGCGTGTCCTCGCGTTGGAGCCTCGGCAAGCGGAGCAAGGCTTCCTACACATACATATAAATGTCTTCCTCCGCCTTCTCCTCCTCCTCAACCTCCTCCTATTCGCCTCCTCCTCCTCCTCCTCCTTCTCCTCTTCCTCCTCCTCCTCCTCCTCCACCTCCTCCAATTTCTCCTCCTCCTCCTCCTCCTCCTCCCCCTCCTCCTCCTCCTCCTCCTCCTCCTCCTCCTCCTCCTGCTTCTCGTTTTCCTCCTTCTCATCCTCATCTTCCTCCTCCTCCTCCTCCTGCCCACTCCTCCCCCTCCTCATCCCCCTTCTCATCCCCCGTTTCCTCGCACTCTTCTACTCATCCTTCTTATATCCTCCTTCCCGTTGGCCCTCAGAAACTCTCCAAAGATACAATCATTTTGCTCCACAGTTGCGCTGTCCTCGAAGGGTACAGCATGGTGGCACACCAGTCCTCAAGTCACACCAACGGGTTTGAGGCGACACAAAGCCATATCATTTCAAGCACTCCCCATCCACTCCCTACCTTGCTCCCTCTGCTGTCTCTCCTCCCCCTGCTGCCTCCTCGTCCTCTTCATAATCCTCCCTCCGCCTCCTCCAGCAACTTTCCAGTCCCCACTCCTCACACCATCACCCTGACCTCTCAAATTCCTCCGGTCGTTCTTGTCAGTCAGCAATTTCTTCTTCAGATCTCTCTCTCTCTATATATATAGATGCATGTATATATACATATATATATATCATATATAAATATATATATATATATATATATATATATATATATATCCGCCGGCCCCCTTGTGGGGCCACCCGGCTGTAGGCCGAAGGTTCGCAGTTTCCTGTGCCAGTTGCAGCTTCCAGTTTCCACTGTTACAGTTCTGCTTCTTGCTGCTTACTGTTCCTTGTTGATGGACCGCGCGAGGGGGGGGAGGCCCAGACAGGCAGGTTTAGCACGCCCTGAGCGTGTTACCTGAATTGCTGGGGTGGGTAAAAATTGACACCCCTCACGCAGACTGGCGGGGTCAGGGTCCAAAAACACAAGGGATGTGCCAAATTTCTGAAATTTGCTGGCACCCCCTCACGCAGATCGGCGGGGTCAGGGTCCAAAAACACATAAGATTTGCCACATGTCTGACATTTGCTGGCACCCCTCATGCAGATCGGCGATGTCAGGGTCCAAAAACACATGGGATTTGCTACATTTCTGAAATTCGGTGGCACCACTCACGCAGATCGGCGGGGTCAGGGTGCAAAAAAACAAAGGATTTGCAAATTTCTGAAATTCGCTCGCACCCCTCACACAGATCGGCGGGGTCAAGGGCCAAAAACTCAGGGTTTGTGCCACATTGCTGAAATCCGGTGGCACCCCTCACGCAGATCGGCGGGGTCAGGGTCCGAAAACCCAAGGGATTCTCAACATTTCCAAAATTCGGTGGCACCCTCACGCGGATCCGTAGGGTCATGGTACAAAAAAACGAAGGACTTGCCACATTTAAAAAAAAATCCAGTGGCACCCCTCACGCAGATCGGCAGGGCCACGACGTCTTACCAATCGCCAGGTGTGGTAACCCCTCTGGTCATCTATTGGTGTTACTCATTACGAGTCGGCCTCGCATGATGCTCCGATACTGCTTCACGACAGCGCCCAGGCCTCATGACATAGCTTTTGCATGGCGCATTCTCCGAGAGAGGGGGCCGGCGGCAGGGGGCGAAACCCTGACGGATATCTATATAAATAAACAAAAAACTTCCCCAAACAGTGTTTGCACGTTGGGGGTTTCACTTCTGCTCTAAGGAAGAAGGCATGTCTGTCGGCCTGGCGGCTGTGGCCACCGTCGCTCCCCGTCGCAACCTCGTCGCCGCCAATCGTCTGGGGCGGTGTGCCGCTCTGGCGGCTATGTGGCCGCCGTCGCCGCCCCCCTCGCAGCCTCGTCGACGTCAGTTGTCGGGAACGGTTTGCCGCTCTGGCGGCTATGTAGTCGTCGTCGCCGCCCCGTCGCCGCCTCGTCGCCGCCCGTCGTCTGCGCATGTCTGTCGGTCTGTCAGTCTGGCGACTGTGTGGCCGTCGCCGCCGCCCCGTCGCCACTTCGTCACCGCCCTAGGTTGCCCAACATAAATTCCCGTTTTTACGAATAAAATTTACCCCACCCCCCGGGTTTACGGGACACCTTTTTTCGCATTGCAAATTGCAAATGATTGTGCCCCGTCGTCCATCCGAAATGCGAACTCGTACCATCTCAGCTAGGCCGCCAGAATTCGCCCCCCCTTCATTTTCAGCAAAAGAAACTATGCGCGCACACTCGCTCATCATTAATCATCAATTCCCAATACTTCTTGACAAAAAATGGCGAAGTGCACGCGCGCGCCTCGTCGAGCCGAAATCCTTCAAAAACCGAAGGCTCCGCAAAGGCTTCAAAACCGATAATCACGAACACACACACACACACACACACACACAAACATAAAAAACATGGCTTCGCGAAAAGATCAAGCAAAAAACCTGCGCCCGCGCTCTTGCGAATTCTTACTGAAACGCTCGGTGTCTTAACATGTTCTCATACCAGACGGCCTCTCGCGCGCGCATGTCGAAATCGTTCGGACGCCCTTGCGCGCGTGTTGTCGCAAGAACCTTTTGCATCAGAACAAGAAAGGAAGTGCACGCGCGCGTTGTCGCGCGCGCACGCCGAAAAAAACCTTCAAAAACCTCAGGTTTCGTAAAGACTTGAAAAAACGGTGGTCCCGAAAGCATCGAAAACACATGGCTTTGCGACATCACTTTTCAAAGAAAAACCTGGGCTCACGGCCCTGCGGAATCTCCAGAAACCCAAGAAGTGTGCAACATGTTCATCAACCTTTGCCAAACGGGCCTCTCGCGCCGCATGTCGACCTCATTCGAACGCCCTTGCGCGCGCGCCGGGGGGGGGGGCACGATCCGTGTCAAATAATACAACGCCGGCCACTCGCGCGCATCGGCCACGCGCACATGCCGAACTCCTTCAAAAACCTCCATCGCCGACGCTAGGACATCGTCATTGTTATAAGCAGGCATGGTAAACATCGGCGCTGTCAGTGGCCTCGCCGCCGTAATCGCCACCATCGTCGCCATCATTGTTACTCCCATGATCGTGTCCACCGCTGTTGGCGTCGCCATGATACCGCGCCCGCCCAAGTCACCGACTCGCACTGCAGTGCCCGCCGGGAGATGCCCAGCGATCAGCGCCACCGCGGCCGCGTCGGCCGCGCCAAACTAGCTGGCCGCTGTGGGCGCGAGCATGCGCGGGCTAGCGCGGCCGCAGAGACGCACCAGCCAATGCCAAGCTCTCCTTGCCATCGCGGCTGCATGGGTTTTGCAAGCCCAGTTTCGGGTGGGTGGGAAGGCTGTTTGCACGGCGTGGCAGCTGTCAACTCAGTTGTACAAATCAATTGCACCGCATAGATTGCATCTCAATGGCTGCACCGCGCACACTCAGTGTTCTAAACAGAAACTAGGATCTACCACCACCACCACACCGTCCGGGTTCATCCGTGCCCCTCTGGGGATGTGCAAGTCACATAGGACCGACCTCATCACTCCTTCGAAATATGAACTCGCACCATCCCAGGAGAACTGGCATCCCCCCCTCATCTTCTGGAAACAAATCGATGCACGCACACTCGTTTATCAAAAAAAAAACTGGTTCAAGAGGTCCCAAGATGCCCCCCCAGAGGCCCCCAAGAAACCCCGAAGACGCCTCCAACAGGCCCCCGAGAGGCACCCCAACATACCCTGGTATGCATCCACTGCGCCTCAACCCAGAACCCAGGCACGGTGGCGGGATGGGCCGAAAGCCATCAGACGTATTGCATTCCCACGGCTCCCTCCTCGAACCTGATGGCACTGCGGACGTCAGCCACTTTCGTCTGATGCTCGGCCATCTCTTCGCGCCGGGCCCCAGCCGCCGATTCGGCAGCCGTCCCGTCTTTGCAGAGGTCGTATCGCTGGACCCCTTCTGCCACAGTGCTCCACACAGCACGGGCGGCTGCACTGCGCACAGCCGCCTGACCTCTCTCCTCCCGGCTGCGCTCCCCTCCTCCCTACCCTCGACCTTACCCTCCACCCTCCTCCCTGCTCCTCCTCCCCCTCCTCCTCCTCCTCCTCCTCCATCGTCCACCACCGAGGCAGGCGAGCTCGTGGCCGCCCTCGGCATCACGGTCGACAAGCTCGGAGGCATCCTTGCAGGGCTCGGAGACGACGGTCAGTTACAAGCGAAGTTGGACTCGGCCTTGGAGGAGGTACGGGTTCTGGAGGAGCGCAGGAGACAGGGGCGGTCGACACCCGAGGCAGCACAGCACGAGAACGCTGAGCCGCAGCGGGAGGCCGCCTCTCAGGGCGAGACCAGGCCTGAGCCTGGAGGAGTCGACGTACCAACACCAGACGACACGGACCTGGAGGAGCTGCGGGCTTTCCTGGGGCGCGCTGGGGTTGCTGTGCAGCCCGAGGCCGACGAGGCAACGATCCGAGGGAGCGTTCGCAAGCTGGCCGAGGGTCTCAACGAATGGAGGACTGAGAAGCGTGCCAAGGTCCAGGTCCCTGCCTAGAGCACTGGTGATATGCTTGATGGGCCTGGTTCATACTGTGAGTGCGATGCCGTCGCTGGGCACGGTAGCAGGGTCGCTTGCAGCGAATCCTCTTTTTCAGGAGACTGGCGGCAGTGCTGCCGATGTGGAGGTGGCCAGAGTGCACTGCCTGGGTCGGAGCGGCGGCGGCAGTGCCGTGGGCCGCGGCAATGGGCGCGGAGGACGAGCCGCGGACGCGCGGGTGGTCGATGCCTCGTCCCACGTCCGACCTCCTGCTCGAGACGTCGACGGACGTAGCGCCCCGAGCGGGAAGGCAGCCGCGGCCCAGGCGAGACCGCGGTCGTCCGACTCCAGGCCCAGACACGATGTGGCAAGTGTTGGGCCAAGCCGTGGTGCAGGAGGCCTAGCGGCCGAGGGCCGTGGCAAGGGGCGTGCGAAGCGAGCCGCGGACGCGCGGGTG